ACACACACACACACACACACACACACACACACACACACACACACACACACACAGTCTCGAACTGTACACAGAACAGAGAAAATGTTTTGGTTGCAACTGTAGTGTTTCCAGTATTATCTTAATTGGTCTGTGGGGATTTGTTTGAAAGCATGCTTAATCTAAAATAATCATTTTGGCACTTTAGGATTGAAACCACTTGAAACCCTGATTCTCGGGGTAATTCTGCTATTAGATGTTCTCGCTTTGTTTGGTTTCATGGCTCCATCGTCGTGTCACCCTAGTATCTCATTCTTATTCGTTCTGTTAGACCTAAAACTAGAGTTTCTTAGCTTAAGTCAAGATGATTGATCACAGATATTAATCATATATTATCCCTTTTGTCCTGCTAGGTCTCAGGCTTTGAAGACCAAAGAGCGTATGGCCCAGGTGTCCACAGGGAGCAGTCATATGGGATTTGGCCGAGGCTCATCTCAACCCAACCTCTCCACTTCCTACAGTGAAGAGTATGGCAGATCAGAGGGATCACCTGCTTCCTACCATGGTTGTGAGTACTGGATTATAATTACCAGTCGGCTTAACACATAGAAAGGTGTCACGCCATATGTTTAAGCAAAAAAAAAAAAAAAAAAAAAATCATGCAGTGCACTCGATTATGGTTACTGTATCACAGTTGGTGTAACTTTGGCCTACATCCTGAAATCTGCCCCTCCCCCTGTCCTATCTCTGGCTAGCGCTCCTGCATTCCTTAATTCTCTCTTTCCCACACACACACACACACACACACACACACACACACACACACACACACACACACACACACACACACACACACACACACACACACACAGAAGAGGAAGAAGACCCCCCAATCATCTTTTATCCACATGGCAAAGGAATCTGCTTCCCTTTATAGTGATGCACTCGTTTCTCTAGAGACGCATGACAGTGACAATGTAGCAGAGTGCACGGAAACCACTAAGGGTCAGTTTTATAATATTTCAGACCTCTTGTCAAAGCATGAAATAATATCCCTTTCATTCCATGATGTAGAGTAAATACAGTACAGGGTTGTTCATACTCAGTGACATCTTTAGGTGATTTTGCTGGAGTTTCTAAACGGAACTCTTTTCCTTTCACACTCTAACCTCCCACCCAGTTCTTTGTACACAGCAGGATGACTTTGTGTCTGTGTGTGTGCGTGTACGCCTATGGATGTGGGTTTGTTGCCATGCATTTGGTTTCAGGCTGCCCAGACTTGTCTAGCATCCTTATGGAGTGTACACCAAGCTCTCATTTATGGCCCACATTCCTGTGTGTACATGGCTCAGAGGCGGAAGCTACAGCAGCTGAGTCATCAGTGCAGAAACTGATGGAGGATCTGGCCAATAGGCGTTAGGCTGTGGGAGTTGCTAGGGGAGATTTTTGGGATTCCAGACAAACTTTCCGAGTATTGTTATCCAGACAGGGTGTGAGTAAATGGCCGTGTGAGACTGTAGGTGTAAAGCCGGCCCCCAGTTACCAAAATTAACCTCACCCTGGGCCTAAAAATCTCTACATTTTATCTTTTATCTTCTGTGGTTGATTCTTATACATTTGGATAATGGTGCCTTTTTATTTCAGCATTTTAACAAGTAAAATACATAAAAATAATCGGAAAATATCTAATCTAAAACATCTAGTAATTACTGTCCAGTAATTAAAACAAAAGAAAATATTTGGCAGGTTTTATAGAAATAGTTTTATAGTGTCACATACTCATGTGCCACATACAGAAGAGACAAGGTTTGAAACCTTGTCTCTTCTGCCACTTATCTAGGTCACAGAAGCAGTCTAATGGGTCAAATTATGGTTAAGTGAAGGTAGCGCGTAGGCAGCTGCATAGAGCATCTGTTGTCAGATGGGGTTGATATCAGAAATAAGTGGCACAACTGGTTTGTGGGCTACTGTGTGTTGTTGCTGGTCCATCAGCCAGCTACAGAGAAGAGTGTAGTTCTAGCATACGAGTTCAACAGTGTGTTTAAAAACATGCTGGATGCCAGTACACGTTTCAACCAGTATGCATTTGACTAACACACAGCATCATCCACATGTGCAGTGTGCAATGTGGATGCATACAAAAACACCTCCAAATGTTAAGTACATTTAACAACAAAAAAACCCCCCTGATGTACAAAGACAAGAGACTGTGTCTGCAAGAATGGTGGCTGCTCATGGTTCTCACACATAGAAAAAACTCTCGTGTGCAATTAGCACCACATAAATCCACGCAAGATGACACAAGTGGTCATCAGCCCATTTCAGCACAAAAACCCAGCCTCTTTCTCTTCATAGCTGGAATTGCATGGTGCTCATGCAGCCTTAATGTAGTTGGATGCCTTAGCTTTTGTGGAATTGGAATATCATTAAAGACAGCATGAACCAAAGTGGAGATGCCAAGATAAGAAATTATTTAACTAGCGTCTTATCAGCTCTTTAAAGATTGAAAACTAAGGATGTTGAAATGTTTTCTGAAACCAGGCAGAGATTTGTCTGTAACATATGCCAGAAGACTCGATTATCCATATATGGTTCATTCCCACAGTGGTGGGTAAGGAACTGGTGTGTTTTAGTTGGCTTTCAGTTTTTGTTTATTTGCCTTTCTGTTTTGTGGCAGCTCAGTATGTCTTCAGGCTCAGTGGTCTTTTTAAATCTAACAAGAAAAAAGTATTTTTCTTCTGCTAGATCACTGCATAGCATGTGTGTGTTTATGACATAATGGTAAATTTACTAGGGAGTCAGCACGTGTTCTTCAAGAGCCAAAGCTTTTTTTCCCCCCCCCCTCTGATTTGTCAGACATAATTGTGTTTGTATGGTTACACTGTGTCTGTTTTAGCTTTAGTACAGCTGTTCAAGGCAGGCATAGATGAGGTTGAAGCCATAGCTCACTGTTCCAGCTAAACAAACACACCTTTTACCTCAGTTACTTTCTCAGGAAATGCATAGTCTGGAGTCGGAGCAGCAGAGACACGGGTTTGATGAGGAGCAAGGAAAGGAAGAACATCAGAAATATGGAGCTAGCGCTGCCACAAACAATTATTTTGATAGTCAACTAGTCACAGATTGTTTTTGCGATTAGTCGACTAATCAGATCATCATCCACTGGACGTAAAACATACAGCTTATTCCACTAGCATGCATCTGCTTTTATATAACTATTAGCTTACAGCTTGAAGTGTTTAAGATATGTGCTAACTAAAAATAAAGACAAGATCACAGTTTATTAAACTTTTAATGAAATTGAGATTGAGATTGTCTCGGTGGAGTTTAATAAACTCAGCCGTCTGCTCCTTGCTATCTAAAATATAACAGGACACTGGAGTAAACTCTCGACCATCTCACACTTCTGTTTAATCAGTTGTCTGCTTGACGTTTATTCGGCTGTGTGAAAACTATAACTTTAATCTCAGCCAAACCGATTTACTTAGGAACAAATAAAACGCTGAAAAAGCCAAATAATAACATTTTTAAGTTATCTAAGTGACTTATATATCATGTTAAACCTGAGTAGCGAAAGACCGCGGGGGGTTTGAAAACGATGTGCCGGGAGTTGAACCTTGACCTCCGGGCCAGCTCATCTCCGAAAATGTCGGAGCACTTTTGTAAATATGTGATGTCTTGATAAATCAACCAGATATTTGATGTTTACACAGCTACATTCTCGCCTGAAAATATCCGAAAACTTTATTTTGTGACCCAAAAAGAGTAATATTAAAACTAAGTAGCTGCCGCCATCGTTGGAAACTGGAATTGGCTGAGCCGCGCTATGAATTCTGGGATAGGTTGGGTCACGAAGGACACACCCGACCCATCCTTCAAATCTGGGGAAATTAAGGACGCATTTGTCGGCTGCATTTGGAGAAGTCTTCGAGTTTGGACAGCCTTCGTCGCGTCGCTGTAATGTAATCGGCCTACAAATGCAGCCCCTGAATTTGGACACAGCTACGATACTGGAGACTGCTTCTTCTTCTTCTGTGTTTAACAGTAGCTGGCATCCTTGTAGATGTAGTGCTGCCATCTTCTGTTTCAGTCCGTTATTACACTCTTAAATCCTACTATTTATTCCTGCGTTTCAGGATCTCACAAAGCTTCAAACGACGCGTCGACTATTGAATTAGTTGTCGGCGATTTCGATAGTTGCCGTAATCGTGACTAGTCGACGAATCGTGACAGCCCTATCTGAAGCCAATACAGTACCTAGAAAACCTGCACAGGTGTGGTTGTTGCTGTCGTTGTTTACAACACTTTTTGTACTTGCATGGGATTTTGAATATGCACATTTCTCTGAGTCTGCAGACTTTAACTGAAGACTTTTGACTGTTTTTTGGCTAAACAAAAACCTGTTTTCGGTTTTTGACTAACCTAAAACGGTAAAGGTACAGTAAGCAGTGGAAAGAAATGTAGTTGTGCAGTTTATTGTTATGTGACAGTATCTGCTCTTGTGGTCATTTATTGCATGGTTTTAGAGTTTCACTCAAATAAAACACATGCTTGACTTTTGGTACTCTCTTGAATGAAACGATTTGACTTTTGCGACCATTCATCGGATTATTTCTTGAAGCATCCAGAGTTGACAGTGGTGAAGCTTTTTAGACACTTTTGTTAATGATGATCTTCTATGTAATAGATAAATGAGGCTTTTGTTTCTGCAGAGCACGGGCTACATATGAGCTGTTTCTGTGTTACTGGCTATCAGGTTTCTTTAACCATTTCAAAGAAGACTGGGCCTCTTCATTTTAAGGGAAATGTCTTTTTTGTACCATTTGTACCATCTTCTTATGATGGAAACATTTGATCGGGCAAATTGTCTGTGTACGTTTACAGATAACTTGCTGATGTGATATGTATTTTCAAAAATGTCTTTTCAGGGTAGGAGGATGTTAGTCAAAGTGAAGTTTCAAAGTTAGTCGCATCAAAGAGTGAAACTAACATTTAGTCTTTCCGCACGTCATATTTGTGTTACTTGGGTTTTTTGGCCTTGGGATTCTACAGCTGCTCAGGGTTCGACGTATATTTAAAAAGAAATGAAGCATGATTATGATCATGAAAAAATAAGTTTGCATATTTGTAGCCAAATTGGCAGTAGGAAAAAAAAAATGGCTGGCGTGTTTGTGTGAAGGCGAGAGGCGAACGAACGAAAAACAAAAGTACCCCAAAGGGAAAATTTGATCAGTCCTTCTTTTTGTTTTTTAGTAAACAAAACAAGTAACAGGTTAAAAGGTGTGTGTGTGTGTGTGTGTGTGTGTGTGTGTGTGTGTGTGTGTGTGTGAAGAACTACCATCACATAGAAAAGCACACGTTAAGTAGGAAATCCAGGTCATTATACATATATTCTTTGCACACCCACAACATTCACGGAGAAATAAAGTCAAAAGAATGACATGGCAAGAAAAGACAAATATGATGATGGCCTCTGTTTCCCATGGAAATGAGTTTGTTTCCACACTGAGACACAGTCACACTTTCAGTTCAGTTGAAGCCGCCTTAGTGAGTGTCTCTCTACGCTCTTTCTTATTATGTTCAAGCCAGCTGGCGTGTATGTTTGTTTGTTTGCCACGTGCGATGTCTGCGTGTTTTGTGCTGCCACATGGCCCGACTTAATCCAATAAGCTGAACGGACCTATCGTCTCCCACGGGCTTGCAGTGAAGACCTATGATCACACACACACACACACACTGTGCTTTCTGTGCAGGCTAATAAAATGCTAAATGTGTCTTGCATTACTACTGGATATTGTGTGATTGCATCTGTTGTGACAGAAGTTGTCTTAAAGTACCTGTTAGGGAGTTTTTATTGTTTTATTTGATTATGCTTCAAATGTTATGTTACACATATTTCACCAGACACAGTTTTCTGTAGAAACAGGAAGCTGACCCTGTGACACTGACACTTACCGCAAGAGACTAGTACAGAAATACATATCCGCAGAAGTTGACTTGCATTATATTATTCTTAGAAATTGACTTGCAACACACATACTTTGTGACACACACAGATAGCTTACACACAGACAGCATCAGGACCTGCGTAACAGGAAATGTGATTATATTTGCATATTGACGATGTAACCTATAAAAATAAACGAATGCTGCAGTACGGGGTGACTCTGAGTTTCACCCGTGCCGCACGTTATCAATCTCAAGTGTCTCAGTGTTGTTTACTCACCTGACTGTTTGTTAACTGTAAATCTCTGACAGTACCAGTTAGTGTATAATGAACTGTGACGTCTTGCCCTGTGGCAGTAACATTAACATACATTCTGAATTTGCTGCTTAGCTACGTCTCCTAACGCCGGTTCAGAACTGGAACAGGCCAGACCTCAGACCAGCGGAGAGGAAGAACTGCAACTGCAACTTGCCTTGGCCATGAGCAGAGAGGCTGCAGAGCAGGTATGCACACTTTGTCGCACATGCGTATGCTAACATGCCAGACATGGCTGTTTCAAGTCGAGGTGGGCAGATTGATTTGAATATCGAATATATGTCAGAATACTTTAATAATCCCAAAGGAAACTGGATAGCAGCATTGGTGTCAGTATCAGTTTCTATCATTAAAGTTTGTTTGTTTGTGTTTTTGTTTTTTAATGAAAAGGAGGGGAAAAAATACCTTAAACTTCCACTATCAAAAATGTCTGAAACCTTATGTGTTAACGGTCATGTCAACTATAGGACATTGAGTTGACTTGTGTTGTTTAAAAGTGCTTCATGGCATTCTCACACCAATAGTTTGTTTTCTCCGTATCAGCTTTTGCCCCATGGTTTGTGCATCACTGCCAACAACATGAGAATGTTCAATTCACCTTTTGGCCTGATGTGTCCGACCAATAAGCGGAAGGAAGAAAAATAAAAAATAAAGGTGGTGTGTTCTGGACTTCTGGAGAATATGGAGAAACTACGTTAATTTAACGTAAAGTTTCTAGCCCATAAAGACATTTGCAGACCTCTAGTACCGTGCCACATCCTAAAGAACAAAGCATACGTGGCAGTGGCAAGTTGTTTAGCTCAGAATTGCGATATACTTCTGGTAGTTGGTTCAGATTGGGGGCCAAAGGGGAAAATGAACCAGAGTTTGATTAAAGCTGACTAAACGCAGCAGGTGTGAAAACAACCTTAGAGAAAGGCACACTTATATTCCAGGTCTTCAAAAAGCCCATATTCAAAAACAGCTGAAAGGAGTGTTTTGTTGTGTTAACTAATTATTTATATAGGAAAAAAATCACAGTGATTTAGTGGTCATTAAAATGTCTTCAGAGTCATGAGCTTTGTATGTAAGCTACCCTTCTAAGTCCACAATTGGCATTATTGGCCCTGTATTTACTTTGCATTAGCTTGATGCCAATATTTTCAGTATTGCACAGCACTAGTTTTCAGTAAACATACAATAAATGAGCCTATTTTGCAGTAAAAATAAGATTAGTAGTACAAAAACACATCTTTAATTGAACATCACTTTGAAAAATGTCATGTTGAGAAGAATGAGATAAGTTACACATGGGTTGGTCTTTCTGTGTGTGTGCAGGAGGAGCGCATACGCCGAGGAGATGACCTGAGACTACAAATGGCCTTAGAGGAGAGTAAGAAAGAAGGCCCAGGCTCTGCAAAAGTTGCCAAGAAGAAAAAAGAGGTAAAAAGCACATAAGCGTAGTGGTTGCGGTGACTCAGTTATTCCATTATCGCAAACACGCTCCTGAAATAGTCTTGTCTCTCCCCATCTCCTTTTTCTGCCTCACCCTGTCTGCTCCCTTCAGTAGCCGTAATGAAGCCGCTAACTGGCAGCAGACTGCCGAGTTTATTTGTCATTATTCTGCCTGAATAAGTGCCCGGCTGCAGTTTGAGGCCACGGAGAGATAAAGAGTTGAAGACGTACGGTTGCACGACAATGACTCATGTTGTTCTCAATGCGTAATGACATAACTACCCTCTATGTTTGAACAGTATTCATGTGCAGGATAATGGCCAACGGATTGTCTTTCCTACTTTTTTCCATTTCATATATTCCGTGTATATCTTCAATCACCCCCTTTGTATATTTCCTCTTTTGTCTCCATGCTTAATTTTCCTTTTATCTGGTCTCCTGTCGTTTTGTTATTTTCTAACCCATGGGTCTCTCTTTGTAGCCACAGTCCACTTTGATGGATCTAATGGATGTCCCCGAGCCTGGTGCCAGTGCTGACCCCTGGGGCACGGGAGCTGGGGCCGGAGCTGCTGCTGCATCAGCTGACCCATGGCAGCCTTATGGTATATACATACACACACTCTTGCTTTCTTGAAAGTTGTTACATCATGTGATATCTACATACTAGGGCTGGGCCATATTATACTGTTCAAGGTAATACCGGTACAAAGCTAGGCAACGATAAGAAAATGACATCACGGTAGAATATGGGTAAAACGCGCATGCGCAGTGCCGAAAAAGCACGGAGAATGCACGGTAACGGAGAATGTGAATGGGGAAAGTAGATTGAGTGAAAAGGATGAGCCAGAATTGTTTTGTAAAAATGGTGCAGCTTAACTGGTTTGGTGTTTGTCCGTCAGATACACAACAAAGCACTTTTTTTTTGTAGAACATGCAAGCGGGGCCGCTGTATTTGTCGACTGAGGTGCTTGTAAATCTGGAAGTAATCTGGGTCCTAAACTCCGTCCTTTAAAGTCCCGAAGTCAAACAAACGTCACTGAGAGTTTAAAACTGTCTAAATTCTTTCACCTTTAATGAAATGATCACCATTGCTGCTTTACCAGGTGTAACTATGAAGTTTAACATCCAGGCATCCATGAAAACAGAATTCGGAGTTAGAAGTTAGCGGAAGTTAGCTCGCTAGTTTCGCTAGTTACCTAAGCATGATATTGCATGTTCTGACTGAGAGATTTCTGAAAAAATTCAAACATACAGCTCTGCTATCACTTCCAACATAAATGAAGACAGGAAACTAAACAGCAGTGACGTTTGTAGGGTTACTGAAGTTGGGCTAGCTGGTATATAATGATGTGCTACGTGATCGCTAGCGACACAGCTATGTTAACACAACATAAACAGTGAAGCTCGAGGATGAACGCTAACACTTTTCCACTCGATAAAAGTTAACGTGAAGGTTCCTCATGGTTAGAGACAAATGCAATCGCATGGCAGGATGCTGTAAACGGACCAAACTTAAGTCAGGAGAACAATTGAGACAATCCATCCACAATACGAGGTTAGTCATTAATATACTGCAACAACATGGGAATAGAGCAGCTGTGATAGAATACAGCATTAATGAATCAAAGGTACAGAAGTGGAAGAAGCAAGAAGAATGAGTTGAATAAAGTTTGATTTATCTGACTGCTTTGTTTCGCTTAATGTGCCTTATAATCCCGTGCACCTTATGGTCCGAGAAATGCGTATTTGACTTTTTTATTTGGCACACTGTGGTTTCATGTTGCAAAGCACCTCTTTTTAACTTCAGTGGATATTATACATGGTTATGCTCAGGATATGTCAGCCCATTTCTACTGGAAATGCCTTTTGGTTAAACTTTAGCAAGGAATTTGCATTTGCATTGTTAAATTTTGTATAGCTTTAATGCACATGAAAACAGCTGCTTGTTTAAGTAAAATGAATGGATCAGGTTTTTTTGCACTAGTAAAGTTGTGGAGTTGTATTTTGTCTCGCAGAAATTATATCGTTATCGCAAATTTTCCAAATATATATCGTGATATATATTTTTGACCATATCGCCCTGCTCTACTACATACTATCACTGGAAAGTTTGTGTGCATGTGTGTGAAAGAGATTTCTGCTCTCCACCTGCCGCTTGCAGGACTGTGACTCTTTGTTACACAGGAATGCTGCTCCACTGGCTCAGCAGCATTACTGCACTGAGGGTTGGGGAGGGTGAGAGTTAGCGGAAGACATTGTGAAGGAAGGGATCATGATGCTGGGAGAAAAGCAGGCTCGGGGAGTCAGATATGTAATAGTCCTCTGTCATGATGAGGTTGGCGTGTGAGAGGGAGTGTCTATGTGGATCGATTGAACTGAAATGAACTATGCAGTAATTACTCAGTTTATTTCAGTATTTGTTAGTCTCGGGTATACAGAAAATTTGTTTAAATGTTTGATTAAGGAAGGGCATGATAGTTTCTGTTGCAGCATAATCACAGACGAAATCACATATGTGAGATTTTTAGATACGGTAATTATAACACAGATTCTTTGGAGTCCTAAATGAAATCACATGATCCTTCGCACTGTTTGCTCTCTGTACTCTGTGAAATGTACCTAATGATAAAATTTGAGGACTGTTGAAAGAGCGGCAGCCCAGAAATGAGGGAGCTTACTGCGTTTTTATCCCTTATCTGTCGTGTGTTTGGTTGACCGTTCATTCTGGATTCTGTGATGTAATTCAGTAACATAAATAATTTTTCAAGGATAAGGTGCTTGTTGGTTTTCCTTCCTCAACTCGAGGCTGGACTGATGTATTAAGTGAGGCCCAGGGGGGCTCAGCGCATTAAATTAACCCTGCTTTTCACCAATTCACTCCCCTCTCTTTACCTGTATTTACCTTCAATCCCTCACCCACAGAACATTGAATGTCTCCCCCTCTCTCCAGGATCTGCCCCTAAGCCAGCAACCTCAGTGGACCCATGGGGCACTTCTACTGTCCCACCCATCAAGAGCAGCGATCCCTGGGCGCCCAACTCCATTCCTGCTTCTGACCCATGGGGTTCTGCAGCAGCCCGCCCCAAACCCTCCAACACAGGTAACCTTCTCTCTCTCTCTCTCTCTCTGTCTCTCTCTCTCTCTCTCTCTCTCTCTCTCTCTCTCTCTCTCTCTCTCTCTCTCTCTCCCCCCCCCACCCCCCACAGCCCTAAACATAGCCAGCTTTGCTACCAACTAAGTACCAAGGTGACCTGTCATGTTGCTTCTTACATTGTGATTAATAAATTAAAGTTGCAAGTACACAATGTTTTAAAAAGAATCATCCGATTTCAAAAAGCTTTTTAAAAATCTTGCGGTGACTTTTAGAATACATGGCTGAATTTAAGTTTCACATGGAGAGCTTACAATGTTTACAACTGTGCAGTGCGTTTACCTCCTGACACACAGCATGTGTCCGTGTAATTGGTTTGCTGTTTGTCCGTCAGATACACAAGTCGGTGCATCCACTGCTGTCGTTATGTTACCCACTGGCAATCATGTGAAACTCACGAATCCCTGTATGTGTTTCGATTGTTACCGTTGAACAGAATTAAAGCACTCTGAAATTGGATGATTCTTGTTTATACTTTTTTGTATTGTATAATTTTCCAAGGTTTTAATGAAAATGCAGTCGATTTCAAGACGCAAACTCACAACAGAGCAACACAACACAAAGTATTCATTGTCATTCATACTCATATTGTATTCCATTTGTCTTTTTATGTATTTGCTCTGTGTTTATGTGAACTTTTGTCTACTTTGTGTATTGTCTTGTATTCTTGCATTTGTGTATGCATTTTCTCCTTTCAGGTAGCTTTGACCTGTTGAGCGCATCCAATGGTACATCCAAAGAAGACTTCTCAGAGTTTGATAGCCTGCGCTCTTCCTCCTCTGTCCCCACTGGTACTCACCCTGTCTTTGTCTCTCTAATGACATGGAGTCTGTGTTGTTGTTGTTTTGTTTTTTGTTTTTGTCAGTGTCTGTCTGTGCAGATGCGTTGCTTCTGCATGGCAGAGACACACACATGTCTTGTGTTTATATGTCAGTATCACCAGACTGGAGCAAAGGCAGCATTATAACCACTAAAATTAGGTTTTTAAGCTGATTTGGCAGTAATTGTATCAAATTGTGGCCGGGAAACTGCTCTTTGCTCCAGTCTGGTTCCATTTCACTGTGGTGTAATCTGGGGCAGCTTTTGAAGGTACATTGTTAAATAAATTATCAGACTCGGTTTAGGGAAACCCTCTCAGATATGACCTGATTCTTGTTAAATCTCGATTTGGGAATTTACATCTAAATTTAAACTAATCCTATTCACAGCTCCATTCAGGTCTGTGTCTGATAAGGTTCCAGTGAACAGTTTGGACGGTGTTATTCTCTAGTCTGAGTGTGGGAGGATGATGACTTTTGCTCTAGCTCAACACTAACGCAGCACTAATGCAGTCCAAGAGGTGGTGAGGAAAAGAATAAAGTGAAGCGACCTTCTACGGAGCGGATTTGAGCTCCAGCTGAAATCTACAAGATTTATGGGGCATTGTAGGCCTATCTCATCTTACCATGGCTGTTTCTAAGATCTGCTACACTTCATTTCTTATTTTGTGGCAGCAGTTTTCATCTTTGACATTTCTGTTTGCGTGTGTTTGTGTGTGTGCATGCGCGTGCTGTTGCTAGTAAGCTGGGTTTATGAGTGCATCAGTGAATGTCTCTACTGCTATCTGACTGCTGCCACAACAAACAGCCAGGCTGTCTGCCTCTGATGTCTTCTCATAATAGCGTCTTCTGATCATTTTATGGCATCAACTCAGTTTCGTTTTACTCTCAGTCTGAATCTGGTTTGCTCATGTGCTGATAAACATGTCCGCTAGTAGGTCGGCGACTCTGAGAAATCCAAATGGACAGCAAGTTTAGAGAACAAAACAAAAACAAAGTAGAATACCACAGTAAATCAATTCTTTTTGTTCAAATACTACTCTTCGGTATCGTAGATGCCCTCAATTATTTGCCGTGCCCGACTGGAGTAGGCATTAAATCCATAATGCTTTGCCCAATTCTGAAGGCAGCTCGTTCAGCTGTAAAATACGACTACCTCTACTTTTGTCCTTCAGGTGATATGGGCATTGCATCTTCTGTCCCCTCCCAACTCAGCCTGGCCAGCAGTAGCAGCCTGGACATATTTGATCCCCTTCCCACCTCAGCATCTACTTCCATCATCACAAACCCAACTAGAAAGACTCCTGAGTCCTTCCTGGGTCCCAATGCTGCCCTGGTCAATTTAGACTCTCTGGTGACCAAACCGGCCCAGCCTGCACCAGTTGTCAACCCATTCTTGGCTTCAACAGGTGGGAGAGCAAAGAGAATGTGAAATCTAATATTTTATATATTTATTATTATTATTTATTTATTTTCTAACAATCTTAGTGGGATGGGTGAAAAAAGTGTTAGCTTTGAAGTATTTTAGCGAGTACTTTATATAATGTCCAACTGACATAGCCCAACTAAACACAAGGTACTGTTGTACTAATGTGTTTTCTTCCTTTGTTTGTTATCCCCTCACTTTATTTAGGTGGCTCTGCTCCAACCCCGGCCAACCCCTTCCAAGTGAGCCAGCCAGCTCCCCCCACCCTCAACCAGATGCGCGTCAGCCCGATGCCCTCTGGCTTTGGCAGCATGGCAGAGCCCATAGGCCTTTCCTCCATGCCTCCTCAGCCCGTCCCCATGGTCCCTCTGACAGGTATGGCCCCCATGGGCCACTCGATGCCTGGAGTGGGTGCTGTGGGAGGCATGGGGATGAGCGCAGGGATTCCATCCTCCATGTCCATGCCCCAGCCCCTGATGAGCATGCCCCCCCAGGCTGGGACTCAAAACACCGGAACAACCAACCCGTTCCTTTTGTGAGAGGATGACAGGGAGAGGGACATCATGGAGTAACCCTTCCTTTTACTCTTCAACTTTAGCCCCTCAAGAAGCTTCAAAACGAACAAGGAGACGTCTTATCTCAATTATCCATTTATAACCAACTCCAAGCCAGAGTCCCAGCAGGACCCTCTCCTACCTTACCACACTCCCTAACTCCTTTCTTCTCTCTTTCTTTCTCTCCTACAAGCTGCCTAGTCCTGTGTTCCATGCTGATCTAATGATAATGTTGATGACCACAAAGAGTTTGCATCAGTCCACAGACTTTTAAGAGTAGCGTCAGTGTTTACAGTTTTTCCACTGAGGCAGGACTTGGCCAGTCTCTCCTCCTTGTCCTTTTCTCAATCATTTCTCCCTTACTTCTTCCCTTTAGGACCGCTCCTCTCCTCTTCTGTAGTGGAGTGACAGGAGAGTCTGACTGTTCTAATGCCAGGATCTTATCTCTTCACTAGAGCTAATCTTTTATAAGCCCTGTCAGCTGGTGTGTGTGTGTGTGTGTGTGTGAGAGAGTGCACATCTCAGTACTTTTACACTGTGTATTTTCCAGCGAGTCAACTTCCACTCACTGGAGTAAAGATGAGAGATGGTTAGATGTGTTTATACTCTGTGTGAGTGTGTGTGTGTGTGTGTGTGTTACAAAGCAGGAATTTTGCACAATTGTTTGCTTTTTTCTTCTTCTTTTGTTTCTTTTTTTTTTTCTTTTCTGCGACTGTTGGGCTCACCGCTACACCTTAGCTTAGGGAGGACGTCCAGCCGCTTAAAACAGCCGAGTCGACACACACACAAAAACACAGTGCCTCGGCTCATGGTCACAACTCTCATCTGGTCACTTCCTCTAATCTCTGAACTTTCTTCAGACCCTCCAGATGAACTTTGACCTCAGTGGTTCACAGGAATAACAATGAAAGCTTCTCAGAGGAGATGTTTTGTTTGTTTGTTTTTAAATATCTGTGTTTTTGCTCACATGCAAGTGTACTGATACTAACTACTACATGTTGAGCCCCCCCAAAATGTTTGTAGTGAAAAAGACATGAACTGTGGTGGCATCAGTGTTTTTTGTTTTTTTTTGCTATATAAATAGGATGCAGTGAGGCATCATGGGACAGTTTTTAAGTTTGTTTCAAGGCTCAAAGGGATACGTGTGGAAGGAGGGTTGTGTTTGTGTGTGTGTGTATATGTGCGCGTTGCAGGAGAAATGCATTTAGTTTCCAAGTGTACTTTCATGAACAAGTTTTCCCATTTCTCAGTCTGATAAGTGGAAACTGATTTGGAATTAGTTTCTGAAGTGGAACTCAAACAAGGGGCAACTTAGGCATCAACAACCTTAACTCTGTGTGTGTGTGTGTGTGTGTGTGTGTGTGTGTGTGTGTGTGTGTGTGTGTGTGTGTGTGTGTGTGTGTGTGTG